CGGGGCTGAAATACTCTCCCCAAGCTGCACTCTCTGGGGGTGGTCCTCCAAGAAGGAACGGAACCAGGCCAGAGCCAAGCCACCGATACCCAACTCAGAGAGCCTCCCCAGGAGGATATCATGGTCGGCTGTATTGAAGGCCACTGAGATGTTGAGGAGGACCAACAAAGATATTTTACCGCTGTCGGCCTCCCTCAACAAGTCATCGTACAGGGCAACCAATGCCGTCTCTGTACCGTGGCATGGCCTGAAGCCCAACTGAAAAGGATCCAGGGCATCTGTTTCATCCAGATGTGCCTGAAGCTGGTCAGCCACCACCCTCTCGACCACTTTGCTCATGAAAGAAATATTGGCGACGGGCCTAAAATTGCCAATTTCGTCCGCCGGTTTCTTTCTTATGGGCCTAATGAGTGTCTCCTTGAGGGCAGAAGGAAAGCTGCCCTCAAGGAAAGACCCATTTATTATTGCAGTGGCCCATTCTGTTGTTATCGGCCTGGCTGCTTTGATTAGCCAGGCCGGGAAAGGGTCCAAGGAGGAGGCGGTGGCTCGACAGCAGTCAAGCACTCTGGCCACAGAATCAAGCATGACAGCAGTCAAGCACTCTGGCCACAGAATCAGGCGTGACAGGCTGAAAGGAGTTAAGGGTTACCAGGCAAGACGGAGCGCTGGACATCTCTGCTCGACTCACTGTGTTCAAAAAAGGAGAGAGGTTCCCGTCGGATGGCCTCCACTTTAGATTTTAAAAAGGCTGCAAATTGGTCAGGTGAAAAACTAGGGGGAGGCCTATAGTAGAGAAATGGTAGCTTCTTGTCCACAATACGAGTTATGTATCAAGACAATCTGACTTATTATCCTTTCCAGAGTTTTCTAGGTAGAGGCACTTACTTTTCTTCTAGGGATGCCCTGGGACTGTTTAGGACTACACAGGCAGACTTTGTGGGAGGTACAGTAGAGAGCTGAACTCCAAACCCTGGCTCCACAGACAGATACCTAATTCACTAAGCTATCTGGCCAACAGAAGAAATCCACCCTTTTAAAAAAAATCAAATACCACTACCTCTAAGGAGGGATTAAAAATTCACAAATTTTTAAAATTTAGAAACAGCCCTGATTGCCTAATTTTCTTGTTTATACCTTGTTGATGCTTGATTTTTAATTATTTCAAGAAATTTAGATGAGGGCACATCTATTTAACTGCAATCTTCAGATGATAACCCTGGGGGTGGGCATGGGGGTTGGAGAATAAGTATCTAACCAATATCCTCCACTATGTAGAGTGATCTAAATAAATAATTTTGTTTCTGTACAGCTTCCATGTCTTCCCAATGTAATATTTTCACTTGCCAACTTATTGTTTTGTCAGACTTTGTGTTCTCTTTTTATGTCTCTCATTGGGAAGACGTCTGCTTTTTAAAAAGAGGTTAACTAAGGAGGAAAGGGTAAAGAGCACATGAATATTCTGATTGCTAAATGGAGTAGGTTGACTTGTCATGTCTTTTTCATATTGTTCAAAGTTCATGAATGTTTATACCAAATAAAACTTCATAGTCTTCAAAGTGCCACACAACTATTATACCTTTTACTGTAACAAACTTATATGGCTGATCCTCCACACCCACAACAAAAATATTGCCCATAGTGGTCATGACTGGCCACCACCAATCCACCTTTTCATGGACCTTCTCTGAATATACTTGTTCTTCACAAAATACTGACAGAGGTCAAACTATAGGGCAACAGAAGCCTTTTTGTCTTTTTAGCTCTCTTATTGGGATCATTAACTCCCTTGGCATCATCTTCTTTGTACATTTCCTATCTGTGGTATACATTTTAGCTGAGCTTGTATTGTGGTTTTATTAGTCTCCTAGTATCCTTAAGGGATTTGACCTTCCTGATTTTGCCTTTCAGCTTTCTTTTAAACACCCACTTTATTATATTTGTGATTACGGAAGATGGAGTAGGCTCAAGCTGTTTGACTTGTTATATGCAACAAAAACCACAATCAGTATGCTTTACCCAACATGAGAGAAAAAGAACTAACTAGAAAGCCTGGAAGCAGAATTATTATTGTAGAACATGGACTTTCACATGTGGGCATTACCCCTAAGCATGTCGCCCAACATGTATTTTTATGGTAAATTCCTGAAAATGGAATGAGGTGGATGGATTGAGAATAGACCTGAAATAGAAAAGCCATTTTTAGTTTAATTTAGAATATAACCCTTTCAAGAAAGGGTATGCACAAATTCTAAAGCTGTATAGTCTGTTTCATCATTACCACCTCCAATCTTTCTAGATTTCATATGTGTGTGTTCATTTCATACTCATGGTTCCCTTTGTCTTTTTTCTTATTTTTTGTGGTGAAAATATATTGACATTGTGATACAATGATTAAAGAAGGAAATCTGTGAAGAAAACTGTTAATGCCAGCTTGCTGCAATCTGCTCCTAATTCTGTAGACAGAATACGGAAATTGTCTTGGCTGGATGCATCCCCATCTCCTGTCCTGACATGCCATTACTAAAATACAGATATTATTTGAGAGACCAGCAATTTTCCACACAAAACAAATGGTACTATGTGGATGAATGTATTACCGTTGAATTATATTGACATTACAGCTTCAGGAATCCGGATGCACATTTTTGGAATGGTTAACATGATATAAGAACTGCACTCCCATACAGGAGAAATCCAGACTAAGGGTGTCACTAGATGGGGGAATTTGGAACAATCTGGGTTACATTTAGAAGGCTCTACAGATGGTCCAGCAGTTTGTTTGAGCCAGTTATTTGGGGGCCAAACAGGTGTTTGGTGCTTCAAATCCCCGTCTCCTCTGACAGGCTTTGAGGCCCTGCCTCCTCAGAGGCAAGGCCTGGAGGAGGCAAAACAGGGAAGTCAGGGCACTACCTGAGTAGATGCCCACTGGAAGAGGCAGAACTTTAAGCACCAAATATCTGTTTGGCCAATAAACGAATTTGCATGAACCGCTGAACCAACACTTCATCCCCATGTCTAGAAAGCTCTTATCCTTGGTGTGACCTATTTTGTCTCACACTTGAAAAATCTTTCCATTAAAACGAGGTATTTCTTCTCCCATGTCAATAATCCAGGCTGCCTTCAGATTGCTCTCATTTCTCCCCCTTTCAAGTGCTGATGTCCTCCACCCCTACCCTTTCCCCTGCCTTGTGGCTGTCATTCTGTGGGCTATGGCTTTGTTGTTTAATTTAGTAAGTGGCATAGCACTACAGCAATACATCAGTCTAGCTCGTACTCCCTTATATCTAAAATAGCACCATGTTGCTCAGGATATTTTTTAATTGCAAGAATAGAAAAATAGAGGAAAAAGTTGCTCTGCTCCCCTTTCTACTGTCAAAACCCACTGCATACATCACCAGGATGTTACTCAAGAGAACAACACCCACAGCTTTATATGGAAGCGAATTAAGCAACCAGATTGTAGAATGGGGTAATCAAGAGTGCTCCAATTGCACCAAATAAACTGCGGCTCTAATGCTGTGCCAGAAAGGAGTGAAACAGCTTACAAAGGGGGCAGGATGAATTACTTAAAACACATGTGGCCACTGAAAAATTGGTTAATTTCTGCTAACATTTTTCACTGAAAGGTACAATTGAATTGACACTAGATTTGGTCAGGCTCCTTTCTCCTCACAATATGATGGGGAATATAAGGGACAGCTCGAAATGTGAAACAAGAGGGTCTCAAGCTTGAACTTCTTTGGAAGGCTATAATTCAACCTTGCAGTGCTGTCCTCTAATACTAGCTGTGTGAGCACTGAAATTTGGGTGTTGGAAATTTTATATATTCAGGCATGCCATATAGGCATTATAAGAAAAAATGTCACAGACAGACACATTTCTCCTTTCCTGCCAATATCCTAGTTTGTTCCATTCAGGGTGGGAAAGGGAGAATGTTTATAGCTTAAGATCTTCAGGCTCAAATAGTACTACTGTACAGTATTCCAATAGAATTACAGCACACACATTCTCCATGCTCTTGAATGAAGGAGCACTGTACAATGAGAGAATTCTGTAGTGTCTGACTGACTTAATTATTTCACATATCCCACTCTGCTAGCTCCGTCTAGGATAATTCTAGCAAGACATTTATTGCTTCAAATAGCTGCACTGAGGTGAAATATTCAGCAGGTAAAGCATTGTCCGCCATGGTATCTTTTTGGGTCAAGGAAAGCTTTCTGGTTGAATTCATCTTCATCATATAGATAGTAAAGGCAGGTGTCTCCTTTATAAGGTAAAAAATAATAATAAATCTGACAGAAATGGATTCCAGTTTCTTCCAGACTTGACTCAAACGGGTCTTGGTGCTTGGGCCATATCAATTTCCTTGCATTTTAGGAAGGAAAGGGTGTTCCAAGACGTTCAGCTGCCTGGCTGAAGTTAAGACCACCATCTTCCCTCTCTTTCCATGTACAAAAGTTGTCCAGACTGGCAGCTGAATCTAAGACGGCATCTCCCTCTACCTCATCTGGGGCCGCAGAACAGCTGAAATGGCACAAGGTGACTCTTGTTACACCTCCAGCTCTGACCACTAACATATCCCAGCTTCTTCTCTCTGCCCTCCCTCCCCACCACCGCCATCGGAGATAAGATGCCTCAGTCTGCTTGATAACGCTAGAGCCAACTGTTGTGTCTCGTTGTCAGGGCTTGGAGGCAGAGGAGGATCCTAGGCTGCATTCATACTAGGTGCCGTCTTGTGTGGTGTTTTTTTCTTCTTCTTTCCGTCAGGAAAACCTGAACAAGCTCCAGATGTCTCGGAGATGAATGTGCAAATAAATAAGGTTCCCAAAACGGCGGGTTTTAAGTGCGCTTGAGGATGGCGTTTAAGGCAGTGCTACGAAAGTCACCGGCACTCAGAAATGCCCTTTCCCCAAACCCTTCCTTAGGGCTGTTGTGAAAAACGAGGAGTGTACTTCGTTCCCCCTGGGAAGAAGCAGAGAGACTGGCCTCGTGTTTGCGCACCTACACGCCGGGGTTGTTGCGCGCCCCCCCCATCGACCCGACCTGAGGCGCTGAAACGACCCCCTCCACGTCCGCCTTTACTACCCCCGTTTCCTCAGGCGGCCTTTCGCAGCGCCTGCCTCCGGTCCGCCCGGGCAGGCCGCCCCACCGCGAGAGAAGGGGGGCGCTCTCGCCTGGCGGGGGCTGGGAGGAGATGGGCGGGCAGAGCCTGGCGCCTGCGTGTCTCTCGGTGGGGCAAGAAAGGAGCTCCTCGCCGAGCGGCCGGGCGGAAGGAAGGAAGGGCGGGCGGGAGCTGGCTTCGGGGACACGTCCGCTCGGCTCTTGGCCCGGGGCTGGCGTGTGGCATGGCGGAGGCATCTGTGCCGAGCTCAGGTAAGGAGGGAAGAGGGGACGAACTGGGCAGGCCGTCGTGGCCGAAGGGCCTGGCGAGGGAGGGGGAAGCCCAGCCCCGGATGGCGAGGCGCCTCGTGTGACTCGACCGACCCGGGGTGGGGGGAGGCCGTCCCGTCCTGTCCCCGCCGGGGAAGTCCACCCCTCTGCCTCGGCTTCACTCGGGGTCCCCTGCCCGCCATCGCCCTTCCACCCAATTTCGCCCTAACTCGAAAAGCTGGTACCGTCCGCGGAGTGGGGGGGGGAGGAAGGAAGGGGGTGACGGTGAGATGTTGTGGAGCGAGTTATTTCCTGGCTTCCTGGGCTGTAAACACGAGGAAGGGAAGGGAAAAACTACTCGTTTTTCACAACGGCGGCGGCGGCGGCACCAACCATTGCGACTGCTGTGCGTATATTTCGTGGATTTGTTCCACACGGACCCCTTCCCTACGACTCATCTACCACATCTGCATATCTTAGGAAGGAGGCTCAAGTGGGCAAAATGCCGGGCGGGACAAGCTGGGGATCAGGAGATCCATCCTAGCGGGCGGGGGTGGGGAGGGGAGGAGGGGAATCTTCCTTCCCCAGCGTGATCTACTGCC